GCCATCTGGTTTTATCTTGCCTTTGAGAGAATACTAACTTGAGCTTCGGAGCAATTTCATCGGGTTCCTCCCCGGAGACTCCCCACTTTCTTCTCCGTTTCAGGCCCCCTATTACTCCAATCAGAGGCAAGATCGTTGATAACTAAGACCGGCCGGATTGCGCACCATCAAATAGGTTATGACCAATTCAGAACAACCAAAACACAAAATCTAGAATAAGACTAGAACATAATGCAGACTTAAGAACCGATATAATTGTGTATTTTTAGCTCGGTTCTGTCGGATCTACCCAGTCCATTTGCTTGTTGGCCTTAACCTGAATCCAGCTTATCCACTATTAAGGGTCCTTTGATAATAGCTAAAGTTGCTGAATTGAAAATTTATTATTTTGTTTTTAATTAATAAAATAATGGTTTTGATTATAATATTGGAACAACTTATAAACCATATTTTTAAACCTTGTATTTGCACTCTTTTCACACTGAACCTTACATCCAATCAACAGATCATAAAAAGGGGTAATCAATCAAATCAGTTTTCATCAAAATTCACTATGGTTTGATTGGTCCAAAGTTAAAATTTTCTAAAAATTTTGAAGGATATAAGAATCTACCCTACTACAATTTCAGCAATTAAAGAGCCCACAACTCTTAAAACTTACTTCCAAAAAAATAAATCTTCGACCAAGGTTTTTAAAACCAAACTAGACAATGAATCAATCAGGGGTCTAGGTCGAATGGTTTGATTGTTCGAACCAAATGGATGGTCTGTTTTGACAAAAAAAATAAAAAAAAGTTAAAAAATAGTCAAAACTGTTAGATAGTTTGAATGGTTCGACTGTCCAAATTAGTGGTTTACTGATCAAATCAACGGTTTTTGGCAAAATAACGGTTATAGGGTAAAACAGAACCGGTCACTTGACAGGTTCCCAGTTTTTCCGATCCAACCGTCCAGTTTTGAAAACCATGTCTTCAACTATTATCAAACAGTTATTATATTTGACTGGGTGGTTGATTAGGATATATTAGTAGGGTTCGGGTTGAATTTGAATATTGCTTGATAAATAAAACAGGGTCCACTTGATTCATAATTGGAATTGGAATTAGAATGACCTATTCTCAAAGTTTGTAAGGTTTAAATAATTTGATTTCATTGCCAAGGGAGAGGGAAGAAACCCCAATTCTCCAAACGGGGAATGCCAATTTACCAAAAATGAAAAAGAAATTTCAATTCTACCTAACCAAACAATTGAAATCGATTCCGATTCCAAACTATTTCCGCCAACCAAATAGGCCACTTTTTTATTTAATTTCGCGAATATTTTTTTTTATAATTTTTTACCCCTGTAAGTCCTTTGCTCTTCTTTTCACCCCTTATTCTCACAGACTGTGTCAGGTGTCACCCAGGTTGCACAATGCTACTATGTTAGTGTCACGTGGGTAGTTGGCGGAAAAGACAGAAACACCCCTAAATAAATCTGTTCTGTTTAAGTACTTAATAATCATGATTAATGGTTAATGAACAGGGGATCAGAGAGATAATTAGATGGAGATGTAAGAAGAGAAGATGAGAGAGAGAGAGAAAGAAAGTAATGATGAGGAGGGAAGGTGAGAAAGGGAAGGAAAGGACGTGAGAGACGAGGGGAAAACTGGGAAAGGACAGAGAGCGCCAAAGAGAGACCATTCAATCAGCCCATAATAATTGCGTAGGTTCTGGGTCGAGTGTGTGTTTGTGTTCCGTGGGGCCCACCCAAGAAAACGGGTAAAAGAAAGAGAGACTGCCGTACTAATGATTGCTTCTGTAGAGTTGTCCCCTCTGGACGGGCAGCTGTCCCCTCTCCGCCGCAACCGCTATCATAGTCCTCCTCCGCCTCGCGCCCCCCACCTCCCCTCATTGGCCCACGTCATCCCTCCTCCCACACCCCCCTCACGTGATTCCCCCTGCCCCCACCCCACCACCCTTCTCTCTTATTCTTATTATTAATATAAAATCCAATAATATCCTATATCTTATTATCTCTGCTACCAACAACACGCTCCTAACATCTTCCAACATGTCATTCAGTCGTTTGGGGCTATAGATTTGAGTCCGAACCAAGTCCGTCTATAATTTGGCACGGTCGCACGGGCTGGGTTTAAATTTTTGGTTTTTGGGTTGAGAGCCTGGGCCCAAAAGTTCGAACTTTAAAATTTTTTAGGTTAACCTTAGGCCCTTAGATAGCCCAAACCTATTTTAGGTCTGACCCGATCTTATTGCGACGTGAGTTTAAATTATACATACATGCATACATACATATACACACATGTATATTACATTAGTGTGAGATAATTGGCCAACCCAAAGTCTTGTTTGAGTCCAAACCTAATTTGAGTACATCAAGTTTTAGTGCAACTCGAGCTAGGTTCAAGTTTTAGACCCAATTCTTAAGGTTGAGTTTGGATTGAGCTAAAACCCGATCAAGCCTATTCAATTTACACCTTTGATAATGGCAATTGCACCAAGATTCAAAGTATCAACCTATATCGATTGATACGTATTGTGTCAATGACTTCTCGATACAACTCCTGTAGTCGGGACTTAAACCAATCCTTCTAAACCAATTTAAAAAAAAAAAAAAGACAAAACATGAAAAAAGCACTGACACAGGCCGATATACACCAACACCACATATCTCATATAAGGCGAGTCCCACTTTATGGTGGGTTCCAGTATCATGATAAGGTGTGTTATGTCCAATGACGTTGGAAGGGTGTTGGAATGTGTTTTATTGGCAAATGATCCCAATCCTTTTTATGAAGGACAGATGTTCGTAATTGGGAGCGTTTTGTTTGTAGCAGATCCTTGCCCAACCACGGCTCACATGACATGAGCCCAATCCAGGGCGAAGCGGACCACTCCATTTAATGGTGGATGGACACCTGCCGCTTATTCTCCTCCTCTTCCCCATTATCTGCCCGCCATGCCCAACTCTACCCCATAAAGGGTCTCCTTCGTAATTTCATTCCTGCGTTTCTGTGCTTCGGCTCCTCCCTAGTTCCCACCAAGATTCGGACAGATCTCGCGTTTTAATGCTCGCTCTCTCTCTCTCTCTGTCAAACTTTTTCAATAATTACCAAACACTCCCGGAAAGAGAAAGAGAGCGCCAAACGGCCAAAGATCTCCCGTGGTTTAAGGGAACCGTGGCAGAGCGAGCCGGGTGTTATGGTGCGTGGAGGAGCAACGCAATAATTACCTCGTATTTGCCCAATTACTGCCGAAACAGAACGCTGGGGTTAAAAAGAAGCTACACAGAAGATGGATCTTGGGTGGACCGTTGATTTCCAACCCCTACCTAGGTGGGACCAGAGTAATTGATTGCTACAGGAACAGGACCAATTAGTTTTTTTTTTTCTTTTCTCTTGGGCCGAAACCAGTGTGGAATGTGGTACGGCACGTTTTGACCATGCACCCAATGATACATAACTTGAGCCTCACGACACCCCATGTTGCCTTCTCTTCTTCGTCTGATCATCCATCCATTCCACATCACTGCCCCGTGGGCCTGTCCCTGGAAAAAGCCCGTGGGCCCATCTTTAGGTGCATGTTTCATGCCCATTGCATGTGACCCATGTTTACACCCACATCATCATACTACTACTCGGTAGGCCCATCCCTCTCTCTCTCTCCCTGCACTACACCTCAGACTCAGAGATCATGCTTCTCCCATGCCCGTTCCTTTCCCAACCAATCTTCTTCTATCATTAAAAGAAAGTCGGCATGACTTCAATTATTTCAATGATCTCGAAAGCATGACATTTGTGACCTCACCTCCACCGGCTATCGCCGGTCACCCATCGCCCCTCTCTTCTCACATTTTCTTTTCCATTTCTAACCCTTGACCCTTGATTTGTACACTTTGTCCAAAACCAAAAGTTGATCCAACCCGTGAATCCGACCCGATCCAACCTGAAAATACAGCGTGAACGTCTCATATCTAGTTACCTGAATTTGAGAATGACCTGAACCTGATTTTGAGTTGGGTCGTTTGGGTCAAGAGTCAACCCAATGACAAAAAGTTTTATTCCTTGATTTCTAGCATTTAGTCTTTACTCTTCTTTGAAATTTCAGTTATATTTAGAGTTGACCGAAATTGGGCCATGGGTCAACCATAATATGAACATTTACGGTCAGGGTCTAGAATTTTCTAGCCAGACCCCAATCAACCCAAAAGTGCCACGGCCCAATCCGATTGCTAGGAATATTCATTTCTGATAATCAATCACGGTTAGGATGAAGGGGTAATTCTGGTAAAATCTCCTTCCCATTAATTAATTTCCCAACTGATCAATCATCCAAAGCCGTTTGTAGGGGGTTGAATCCTTGTATGTGTTAGTTGGTTGGTTGTTGGTGAGTCAGCCGACCTCGCCCATCAACAGTTGTTGATGTGGGGGTGGGGCCCCCTTAGAGTAGAGCGTAGGTCATAAAGCTAGCGTGGTTGGGACGATCACAACCGTCTGATCGAGACATACAATAATTCCATCAGCAATGTCAAGTCAAACAAAAATCTCGCATGGAGTCATCTTCGTTTACCGGATCTCTTGGAGTGCAGAGATGACGTGGCGCATGTTAGTAAAGAACGCAATTATTGTAAAGTTCTAGGATAATAAATGTGTTGATTGAGCCACGCTCTCCTGTGTTCTGCCTGGAATTAACTCTTCTACCCATTTCACCCAAAAAAAAAGAAAAAATTTTAAAATATTGTATTTCCAAATTCTAATTTCTTATATCTTATAAAAAATAAAATTGATTGTCTTTTTTCTTTTCAGTTCCAAGGTGTAAAAAGCAAAAAAAAAAATAATTAATTAATTAAATTAAAAAATATTTGAAAAAAGTGGAAATATTTATATGGATTTCACGTGTGATTGTCAACCTGGGTTTGTCGGTCAAAGCTGTTGGCACAAGGCAAAAGAAAAAGGACTGTTTGTGTATTGAGTGTTTAAATTAGGAGAACAGATAGGGTCTCTATAAAGACTCTTTTGAGTCCTTTTTCAATCCAAACCTCCGTCTCTCTCTCTCCCCTCTCTGAAAGACTGGAAACTCTCTTCCTTGTTTATTTTCTGTCTGGCTTTTGGTTTCTTCTTGCTGTGTACGAGAGATGGAGTTGGGGTTGAGCTTAGGAGACGCGTCCAAGGCGTTTCCGTTTGTGGAGAAGGCTCGTAGGATTAGCGGGAGCAGTAGCAGCAGTTTAGGGTTTTGCATGGGGTTAGGTGTTGGGGTTGTTAATGGTGGAGAGGAAGACAGGATAGAGGTCGATGAAGGAGAAGATGGTGGTGGAGATGGGCAGCAGAGGGAGGAGAGGAGGGACTCTGCAGATCCGCCTGTTCAGCTCGATCTTCTCCCTCCTGGTCCCGTCCCTCGTAACCCGCCTTCTTCCTCGCCGCTGGGTTTTCCATGGCCAACTGAAAACGGTAATACCCGATAGGACCGACCGAGCATCCATTAAACTCTCTCTCTCTCTCTCTCTCTCTCTCTCTCTCGAGCTTTGGATTCTTTTCTTCATTTCGTTAGGCTCCCTTGCATGTGGGTGTTGATTGTTTGGTTTTTGGGGTTGTTGCAGGTAATTGTGAGGCGGGTTCATCGGGCCACTTGGGGGCATCGGCGAGAGGGTTCGACGTTAATCGGTTGCCTGCGGCGGAGGATGCTGACGATGGGGCCGCCGTCTCCTCTCCCAACAGCGCTGTTTCCTCGTTCCAGATGGATTTTTCCATTTATAGAGGTGCTGGTGGAGGCAGCAAGAAAGATGCAGAATCTGCGGGCAATGAAGTTGAAGCGGAGAGAGCTTCCTCGAGAGCCAGCGATGAGGAAGAGAACGGTATGACTAGGAAGAAGCTCAGACTCTCCAAAGAACAATCGGCCTTTCTTGAAGAAAGCTTCAAGGAACACAATACTCTCAACCCAGTAAGTATCAAACCAGGAACCAGAGAGAGAGAGAGAGGTTTCATTATTAATTCATAGAGGAAAAAATGGAGAAAGGAGTAGTTTCTTCTATTACTTTTAACTTATTGGTTCATTTTACAAATACTGCAGAAACAAAAACTTGCGCTTGCGAAACAACTTAACCTTCGTCCTCGCCAAGTAGAAGTCTGGTTTCAGAACAGAAGAGCCAGGTATTCATCTGTTCATATTTTTCCTATTTTGTGCATAATATATATTTGATTGAAGTTGGAGTCGATTAAAAACTTGTTTTTGGGAAATGGGATAGCATTAAATTTCCATTTATTTCTTGAAAAACAACATATACAGGACGAAGTTGAAGCAAACGGAGGTAGACTGCGAGTATTTAAAGCGGTGCTGCGAAACACTGACGGAAGAGAACAGGAGGTTGCAGAAGGAGTTGCAGGAGTTAAGAGCCTTGAAGACTTCCCACCCCTTCTACATGCAACTCCCAGCGACCACCCTGACCATGTGCCCCTCCTGCGAGCGCGTCGCCACCACATCGACAGCTCCCTCCGCCATGACAGACGCCAGCGCCACCACCACCCCAGCCACAAACAAGGCATCCGCTTTTTCTCTCACCAGACCCAGGTTCTATCCCTTCTCTCAAGCCCATGCCCCCCACCCGTCCGCTGCTACATGAGATGGAAACCAGGCGTTTCCGGTGATGGGTATTAGATTAAATAGATTTGATCTGTAAATACAAAGACTCTTATCAGTTGTTTTTTTTTTTTTTTTTAATTTGTTTAACAGTTTTCATTTGGTGTGTCATTAATGGCGGAGATTCTGAAGTTGGGTTTTTTTGCTTCCTTCTTCTTTTGGGTTTTGTGAGGGGGAAAGAAATAGGGTTAGAATTTTAGAGAGAGATAGAGAGAATTAGATTAAAAATCCCTCCTTTTTTCTTTTTTTGCCATTTCCCGCAAGAACAGAGCGAATACTACTTAGTTGTATCTGTTCTTATTTTGTACTAAATTTGGTAAAGAAAATACAGGAATTCAGAATTCAGATGGAACTAGTCTTCGTTGAATGTTTTACTCTTGGAGCTGGAGAAGGTCGTTTTGATAAAAGGGGGCGAAGGAAAAAGAAATTAACCCTTCCTTTATTCAGGCCTTTAATTCCCTACACGAGAAGACAATGTGTGAGCGTGCACTGGTTACGTAGAGAGCACGAGGGAAACAAATGGACATAATCCAGCCATCACAGCAGTCACGTGAGGGAGCATGAGTGATGAATGTGATGTCTCATCCCCACATGAACTCCCCATCTCAACTATGCCATTAAATAATAATTATAATACTAAGTGGTTAATTAATAGCTTAATTAGAACAAGTGGGCAATTACCAATCAGACATGGGTGATGATGAAATACTTTGGATGAAGATGATATTCTCTTTTATTAAATGCTGTGATGATGCTTGTATGCATGTATGTATGTGGCAGCAGTGTAATGGATTATGGAAGGAAGGCTGATGATAATTGATTAAGTTTTAATTATTTGTTTAATCTTGGGTTTAATCAGTGTCAAGCATATTAAAATAATAATAAAATATTGCCGACCATCAAAAAGCCTAATTGAACCCCTGAAGGGACAAAAATGGGTACATGAGCTAAGAGGGAAAAGATCAAGTAACAAATATAAAATAGGTCATCCAATGATTTGTACCGGGTAGAGTTGGTAACACTTGCAAGAATTTGTCTACCATATGTCTTATCTTTTGCTGCTGATGCCATCAACCCGTCTTTTGTGTGAATGCTCTAAAATAATTAGCATACTGTCAAAGGGGGGCGTCTAGGTCTGATGACATGATACATTTGCCACGTGTCTTATGCATTGTAAGACGTGGAAACCCTCACTGGGGTCTCACCCACTTGTAGCATCGGCATGAATGCTCACGATCATGTCAATTTTTAACCATTTGATTGGTGCACTGTTTTTTTTGGAGATTGGAGATTTGTTACAACTTGCAATCATTCATGTGTTTCAGCTTAAATATATTATTATCTTAGACTCACTCAATGGTAGGTATTAATTCTTTCCTTTGGATATGAGAGACATGATTATTTATTGGCAGTCTGTCTGCGTCTAATTTCAGTTTTTGCATTTGTCGAATGTGGGTTTTGAAAATATTGTTAGGTGTCAATTGCCCAAATTGTAAATTTTCAAGGATTGCTTCAGCACAACCCATGTCAAAGAATGGGATTGCTTGTTTTAGTTTATTATAATCGGGGGGGGGGGGGGTTCAATACCCTAAAACATTCCCTTCTCTATGTAGGAATGTTGTGGAGCAGCTATCAAGCTTAAATCTTTGATTTTGGTTCTTTTTCACCCAACCCTTCTGTTATCTTTTTCTCTCTTAGTTGGAGGCAAAATGGGTCTGGTTAAGCTTAAGCCCATTTTTAGAGCTGAACCTGCCTAACCCACGTCACTTCCTTCGCATTTGATCCTAGCTTAGATGGTGTTTAATCTTTGATTTTGGTTCTTTTTCACCCAACCCTTGTGTTATTTTTTCTCTTGTAATTACTTGACAAAATGGGTCTGGTTAAGGCTGGTCTTTAAGCCCATTTTTAGAGCTCAACCTGGTCTACATTACGCTTCCTTTGCATTTTTTATCCTAGCTTAATCTTTGATGTTGGTTCTTTTTTTGACTCACCCTTCTGTTAGTTTTCTTTTTTAGTTGACAAAATGGGTCTAGTTAAGGCTGGTCTTCAAGCCCATTAGACCTCAGCCTGGTCTACCCATGTCACTTGTTTGCATTTGATCCTAGTTGAATCTCGACTTTGGGTTTTTCTTTTTTTCAGCCAACCCTTCCTTTCATTTTTTGTCTTTTGGTTGGAAAATGGGTATGGATCTAGTTAAGGTTTCATATGGTCTTGTCTTGTTCATGGTTTTTAATACTGGGGATGGTGCTGGAGTTGAGGTAGTACAACCACTTAATGGGAGTAGATGAAGCGGTCGAGTAAGGGGGAGTCCAATTAAAGAGGTTGTTGCTTTGTATGGAGGCCAATCCTTCTGAGAAATTTCTGATAAGTGGAAATCAAGAATGTGATGGGATGTGGAGATATGGACCGAGGAAGAGTAGGTGATGGTACTAGAAAAATGAGAAAAAAAAAAAAAGGAGAAACATGAGAAAGAGAAAAAGCATGGCACAAATGTACATAATAAATGAGGTATCCGGACAGGCTCCACAAGTGGGAGGAGGTTGCCATCTTCTACACGCAATGTAGAATGATTGGGAAGGATAAACGTTAGTTTGGGAGAAACCAGAACCCAGAGAGAGAGAGAGAGAGAACATGTTTGAAGGGTTTGAAAATGAAAAAAGAATTTGTCTTTTGACTTGGAGTGGGAGAAGATCTTTGTAAATCTGGTTCATCCGTTAAATCAAGAATAAAGCTTTGAAAAGACGATGATCTGAGCTTCTTTTCTTTTCTTTTTTTATTGTTTTTGTTTTTCTTTTGGGTTGAAATAGAAACAAACCAAAAATTAGGTTGGATGGGTTCTTGTTCCTGTTGTTGTTGGCTGTAATTGAATATGATTAGTATATTATAATGTTGACGGAAGATGGAAATGTTCATGGGACCACTGAAACATGCCTCCCTTCTCATTTATTTTTCTTTTTGGCTTGGCCTGGTGACATCACTGCTTTTATCTACTTGATTTCGATTGACTAACATCCACTCTCCCTCTCCTCTGTACTCATTTCTTCTTCATCATGCTTTGTGCCATGTTTAGATAGTAGAGAGAAAGAGAAAGAGGGATGGAGAGAGAGAGAGAGAGGTCATCATGGTCATTAAAAATGAAGAGTAAAAACATGGTGGGGCTGGGTTCTGCACGGGCTGGAGACAACCCGACCAAATCCAACTGAACTAGGCCCCAACACAAGACTGGCACCATCTTTGATTTCTTACCGGAGACCAGTTCCATTGAACCAAATCACTTGGTTGACCCCGCTCGGGATTTTACTCCTTTACACTTTAGGGTTGGTAAATGAAAATGAGTCCTCAAGAATGTATCAACACAAAAGGTGGTATAAGTTAAAATATAGATGATTTGTTCCTTCTTAAAAATAAAAAGTTTGTGGGACTTTATCAAACAGGTGCGCTTCGGTTTTGGGGTAGAGGAGTAGAACTTATTGATCAGGCCCAACTACAACCAAATTGACGTATCAATTAATAAACTATAACCCAATTGACCCAATCTTATACAATCTATACTTCGGTTGATCTCTCTCTCTCTCCATACAATTTGGGTATGAATGAGATCAAAAGAATATCAAACCCTAATTAAGATCAATTTGACATTTGAAATTGACTTCACGTTTGTATTTGGATATTTTATAATTATCAATCAAGTAGTTTGAAACTCAAATCACATAGTGCTTTTTTTCATTTAAAAATTTTCATATATATACAATTTATGAAATATTATGCTTCTCATTCTCAAATAAATCCCGGCCCAAATTTTGAAATGTAAATATCTCTAGATTAAAAAAATAAATAAAAAAAAAAACATATTATGGTGTGTAATTTTAGATGAAATAATATTATGGTGTGTAAAATGGTTTTTTGAATTTATTTAGGTAATAGATGATTGGATGTTTATTTTATTATTTAAATCTATTTACTGTTTAATTAAACAATTAAGTTTGTTGTACCTATTTCATGTTAATTCATGTTATGCGTGTCATTTAATATAGAATTAAACATGCCATCGTGTTAATTTGGTAACACAGGTAATGTAGTGTTATCCTTATAATAAACAGGTTGTATTCATTTTTGAAAATATAACAACTAATTAATCATATTGTCTTCGTATTGACCCATACATCTGAATGCCCTTACCTCGGACTTTATAAATTATTCTATCTCATAAATTTTTATTGGTTTGTAATCTATCACAAAAACAAGAAGATTTGAAATAATATATTTAAAAAACCCAATAAAATTTTTTGAGAGTAACAATTAAACTACTTTTGGATTAAACAAATAGGACCATCCAAAAAATTAGTTCCACATTTATAATGTATACCACCTAATTATTTATTGTCATGACCTAAACTGTATATTCATTACTTATTAGAACAAAACAGCATGACCCATGACAGGATGGAGTGCCTGAACATGATTCCTTCCAGGCAATAAAGAACTCCCACAGATACATTGAAACTGCATTTCAATATATACATCCATGGATGCATGAATAAGAGCAATTTATTCTTACACACAATACAGGAAATAATGTGCATTGCATGAGGTATTAATGGTGGAACCAAAAAGAGAAGCTAAGCTAGAGTAGGTCAAACTTTATCCAGTTCTTCTGTATGCATTAAAGACTTGAAGTTTCTCCTGAAAACTGAGATAGATAGAGACTAAACAGCTTTGTATTCTGACAATATGTTTTGTAACATTTTGTATGATCAGTAATAACCCCATTTCCATATTCTCCAGGAAGAAATGATTAGGCTTGATCTATCAAATCAATGGGTGGAAAAGTTAGTTAAAATCAATCAAATCAGTGTACATAGATGTGGAAATAATTGATTAAACTTGTCAAATAGAATTAGTACACTTGGGCTGATTAAAGTCCGTGAACCTCACAACACTGTAATTGAAAATTATCCGAATGTCGTATCATACTGTTAGCTTTCATTTGAAGTATCAACAAATTAAGCTTCCAAATCAAGAGTCAGGGATTTTAGATTCTTCACATGTTCCTGTTCTTTCTCCTTAACTTCATCCAGAGAATTGATTAGCTCTGAAGAAAGGTATGATATGAATATAATGATTTTATATATTGATACTTGAGCCAACGATATATATTCACTTAATCAAGCAACGATGATGGAGGCGTTGATGGTTCTTGGCTGCTCATTGCTCTTGTTTCTCCAGGCTTTTCCCAAACTAATTTGAATTGGAATATAATACAGCAAAAATGTGAATCACATGTATTTGCATCTGGGTTTCAAATTTGTAACCACATACATGCATGCGCATCTCCTTATAAAGCCAGTAATG